TCAGACAGCTGGAGGTCTGAGCCTCTCCTCCCCACCGGCGTGGCATCATTTCTCGCTATACGTGGGCCTCAACTGGATCCTCGACCCCTTCTCCAGGGCGAGCTTGTGAGATCCTGGGCCCTTTGTGGACAGTTCCCGCGCCCGAAGCCGGCCTTCAGACGCCAGAAACGCTGCGCTAATCAACAGCTGTGGACTGTGCCGGCATTCGCGCGTAGGTTCCCCGCGCAAGGTCGTGGGTAAGCGCCCTCGTTTCCACTGTGGCGTGCCGCGCTGGCTGCTTGCGTGAGCTGCGGCGTAAGGGAACTATGCCATCTCGCGTAAGACCCGCTTGATTTCGTCGCCGCTCAACTGGCCGTGGCGGTCTTTCCGTGCTGGCCTGGATCTCAGGGCCCTTCTCCCGACCTCTGATGCCCCGAGTTTCTCCATACGGGGCCCCCAGAGGCCTGGACCTCTCCCCAGTGCTGGCTCCTCGTCCTGAGATGCTCTCTTACAGTCCCGGGGCCGGGCGAGGGCCCCCCGAGGCCGAGAATGCTCAACTGGCCCGGCGAACTTTCGCTCTGAGTCCCTCGAGCCGCTGGAGGTCTGGATCCGCCCGCGCTCCCGCCCCGAGGCCGCCGTCGGCTCGGCCGGGGGCTCGCCGGACGAGGCGGGCGACGGCGCCGGCCCCGAGCCCGCGGCGTCGGAGGAGCCGCGCGCGCGCGAGCGTGCGCGCGGGGGCCGGCGGGCGCCTCGGGCGCAAGATCGGTGAGCGTGCAGATGATGGTGAAGATGGTCAGGATGAGGATGACGGTGATGATGAAAATGAGGATGATGGTGATGGTGATGGTGATGGTGATTGTGGTTATGGTGGTGAGGATGATGATGGTGATGACGCTGCTGCTGCTGCTGATGATGATGATGATGCTTATGATGATGGTGATGATGATGATGATGCTGATGATGATGATGATGATGATGATGATGATGATGACGCTGCTGCTGATGATGATGATGATGATGATGATGATGATGATGATGATGAGTGTGATGGTGATGGTCATGATGATGGCTTTGGCGATGGCTGTAGCGATGTGGTGGTGATCGCGATGGCGATGGCGGTGGTGATGGTGATGATGATGATGATGGTGGTGATGGTGGTGGTGATGAGGGTGAGGATGAGGATGAGGATGCGGATGAGGAGGATGAGGATGAGGATGCTGGTGCTGCTGATGATGATGGGGACCATGATGATGCTGACGTTGTTGATGATGATGATGATGATGATGGCGATGATGCTGCTGATGCTGCTGCTGATGATGATGATGATGATGATGATGGTGGTGGTGAGATAGTGAAGCTGATTATGCTGATGCTGCAGCTGCTGCTGATGATGCTGCTGCTGATGATGATGATGATGCTGATGCTGCTGCTGATGATGATGATTGTGATGCTGATGCTGCTTCTGATGGTAATGAGGATGAGGACTCTGATGAGTATGCGGATGAGGATGACTATGAGTATGAAGATGACTATGATGATGGTGAATGTGATTGTTATGGTGTTGGTTGTGGTGATGGCGGTGATGATGTTGCTGCTGATGATGCTGAAGATGATGCTGATGCTGATGCTGATGATGGTTACGATGCTTATGCTGTTGTTGTTGTGGTTGTTGTACTTGAGGAATGGAATATGAATGATAAACTAAGAAGGAGAGGATGAGCAGGAGGAGGAAGACGAGGAGGATACTGAGGTGGAGGAGCAGGAGGAGGAGGAAGAACAATAATACTAAGCATAGTAAGAAGACACATAATCAGACTACTAAGTATACGAATAAGAAGAACAATAATACGACGAATACTAATACTACGGATAAGAAGAGCAGCCCATATGATTAATAAAGATATAATTGATACGACTAATAACACCCACACTAATAATAACACTATTATTCATAGTCGGAGTAATAACTATCCGGACAATCATATGAAGAAGACTTGTACGACGACGGTTACTAGTATTCTAATAAGAAGAATAACACTATACATAGTCGTAAGAAGACGAATATACGAATAAGAAGCAGAAGAGTTAACATACGAACATCGTTAATATTAAGAAAACGAATGAGAAGAACAACACGACTAAGACAACGAACGCTCGTACTACTATTTATAGTCATAAGCATAATAATACGAATAGTCAACTTATGAATAATAATACCACCATCATTACTAAGAAGAAGCATGCGACGAACAATACTAAGAACACGCATGATAATACTAACAGGAATGCTGATAATATTTGTAATGCTAATAATACTAATCCTATCAATAGTACTACGAATAAGACGAATACGATGATTATTTGTACTAGTAAGAATAAGAATAATATTCATAATACGAGGAAGAGTAATACTACCAATACTATTACTAAACATCAGAAGAAGAGTAGGAGGAGGAGCATGACCAGGAGGAGGAGGAGGAGGAGCAGGAGCAGGAGCAGGAGCAGGAGCAGGAGGCAGGAG